CCGATTGCACAGAATTGTACAATTATTCAGAAAGAGTAGAAATCATGAATCCACATTTTACCTGATTTCAAACTGGTTGACAATTTACTTCTGTGGATTATTTTTTCTCTTCTCCACTCAATTTATAATTTATTCCATCTATTTCTTTCCTTTTCTGCCAACTGTTGTATTTTTCTAGGGATAGTTGCAGGAAAGAAACTATGATTTCTATCAGAGTGCTTATTATAATTCTGTTCTATTATTCTGTGACCATAGACCATATCTCTTAGAACCCACTGTGTGACAGCTTTCTCCAGGACCACCTGTGCCCCACTGAACAAGAAGAGTCCACCTTCACCTTCTTCCCTGCTGACATCAAAACTAAAATGAAACAACCTAATATGAGAATAAGAGTATATAAGAAAACTTCCATTACATTTAAAGCATTGCAAAGTATTTAATTGTAAATTCAAACACTGGAAAAACAAATCTACTTGCCTCCTGACTACTAAAACATTATTCTTTTATGAGAACATGGTCTGTGCTTGCTAATCTCATCACCAGGGATAACCAGTTTAGTGTGGCATAGAACCACCTCTATGCAGAGGTAAATATGGATTTATTTTTATAAAACAAAGATTATACTCTAGTTTTATACCATACTTTAAATATACCTGTTGTTATTGTGATCATTTTGTAATTATTTGAAACAACCTCAATGGCTATATAACATTAAATCAAAATAACATTTCATAATTTCACAATTTTCCTACTGGAAATTGAGTTTCCTGTGTGATAATTTGAGGGAAGTTTCTCTGCCTCACCAGATTAAAAACGTTGTGTTTATGTTTCTTCACTGTTTTCTTTCTATTTCATAGGAGTACCTGAAACATATCAGGTAGACTGCAGCATCTGTTGAATGAATGAATCTCTCCTTCAAATCTTGGCTAAGATCAGCCTTATCCACAAAAGTTTCTGACCCTCACTTTAATTATAAACCTCTTTCTCTTCTATAATTTGCTTCTCTAGCTGTTTTGGGGGACTCCCTGACAGGGAAAATACATAGAGCAATGCTTTCTACACTATTTAAAACCACCAGAGATCAGGCACACTGCACCCAATGAGGCTTGTGCCACTAGAAAGAAAAGGCCAGTTTGTGAGATTGATCTGTCTCAGAATATTTGTTTTCAGTCCCCATATTATCAACTACACATCCGAAGCGGAAACGAGGACTGGAAATGAATATGAATGAATGCTCGGCAGTTCATGCCTGTAATTGCAGCAGTTTGGGAGGACAAGGCTGGAGAATTGCTGGAGCCCAGGAGATGTGAGACGACACCTCTAGCAATAATAATTATTATAATTAAAGTTAAAAAAGGAACTTCTCTACTCAAAAGATAAGTAGATAGATGGATGGATGGATAGATGGATAGATAGATAGATAGATAGATAGATAGATAGATAGATAGATAGATAGATAGGAGCCAGGCACAGTGGCTCACACCTGTAATAGCAGCAGTTTGGGCAGTCGACGCAGGAGGATTGCTTGAGTACAGGAGTTTGAGACCAGCCTGGGCAACATGGCAGAACCCAGAATCCCATCTGTACATACATACACATTAAAAAAAAAAAAAGAATAAACATAACAATAACAAAAAAACAATAACAATAATAGAACAATAAACAACCAAATAAGTGGGAATTAACTAAGGTAAAAGGCAATTAAGATCACAGTTATTGTCTCTCTTTTTCTGCATCCCTTTCTCTGTCTCTCTCTATCTCTTGATCTTCGTGTGTCACATTGTCACACCCAGGCTGGAGTGCAGATGCGCAATCACGGCTCCCTGCTGATCGCGCAAGCTGCACTCCAACCAGGGTGTGACAGAGTGGGAAGACCTAGCCCTCACCCCCCCCCCCCCCAAAAAAAAATCAAAAACATCAACTTCAGCATGCAGGAAGGAGTGTAAAAAAATTAAAACAGAGAGAGCAAAGAACAAAGAAGAAAAACCAGCAACTCCCTCTAAGTATTGTGGAAGCAAACTGAAAATGATCCGAATAGTCCTAGCTACTTGGAAGGCCGAGATGGGAAGACCACCTGGGCAAGACCAGGGAGATCGAGGGCTGCAGTGAATCATGATCGCATTTTTCTGCTGAACCTCAGCAGTACTGCCGGTGTTGAGAACCATCTGGTCGACCTTAGACATAGCAAGCTGGCAGCTAGGTCCAGTGCTCACAGCCAACACCTGTCTCAAAATAAAAAATGCAACAGTAAATATTTAACAACAACAAAGAAATAGTAACAAACAATAAGACCGATAAATAAATAAGTGGGAGTGAACAAAGGTAAAAGATAATTATTATCACAATCAAAATCTTCCCTCTTTCTCTCTGTCACACTCAAGTGGGAGTGTGACAAAAAGGAAAAATCTAAAAGGTAAACTTCAGCATGCAAAAAGGAGCATAGGAAAATAGAGAGGAATGTAAAACAACAGCAAGTCACTCTAAGTACTGTGGAAACAAACTGAAAGTGGGATTAGGAAAAATAAAAAAGAAGAAGTTGGAGACCAGCCTGGGGCAACATGGCGGAACCCTTAACCCTGTGTCTACACATACCTACCCATCAGACATTTAGAAATATAATAATTAGCCTGGTGTAGTGTCATATGCCTGTAGTCCTAGCTACTCGGGAGACTGAGGCAGAAAAACCACTTGAACCCAGTAGGCAGAGGTTGCAGTGAGCCAAGATCACACCACTGCTCAGTCCAGCCTGGCTGATGGGACAAGACTGTGTCTCAAGACATGAAACTAATAATAAAAAAAAGTAGAAGTAAAAAGTACAAAAGTCAACTGGCATGGTGGCTTGTGTCTGTAGTCCCAGGTACTGGAGATGGGAGGCACTGGAGGTGTGAGGGTTGCTTAAGTCCAAAGGGTTGAGGCTGCAATGATTCTGGGTGACAGAGTGAGACCCTGTCTCCAAACAAACAATAAACATAACGATAACAAAAATGTACACTAGAACAATAAACAGCCAAATAAATGGGAGTAAACGAAGGTAAAAGGTAATTAATATCACAATTAAGATCTCTCTCTCTCTCTCTTTCTATTTGTCAAACCCAGTATGTAGTATGTCAAAAAAAATCTAAAAGGCCAGCTTCATCACGCAGAAAGGGGCGTAGGAAAATAGATCAAAGAACAAAGAAGGAAAACAACAGCAAGTCACTCCAAGTACTGTGAAAACAAACTGAAAATGGGGCTAGAAAAAAACAGAGAATGTCTGAGTAGTCTGATGGAATCAAGAGTCTGAGATGAGAAGGCCACCCAGGTGATACCAGGGAGATTGAGGCCACAGTCAACCACGATTGCATCTCTCTGCTGGACCTGAATGGTACTGTAATGGACAAGAGCCATCTAGCCAATCTTAGACATGGCAAAATGAGAGCCATCTGTTCGTCCTTAGACTTGGCAAGCTGGTGGCTAAGTCCAGTGCTTACAGCTGACGTTTGTCTCAAAATAAATAAAGAAAAAATACAAGAGTGAATACTTAACAAAGAAATGATAACAATATGAAAGACCAATAAATAAGTGGGAGTAAAGATAAAAGGTAAAATCACAATTAAGGTCTCTCTCTCTCTCTCTCCATTTGTCACACCCAGGCTTGAGTGTGACAAAAAAAGAAATTTAAAAAGTAAACCTCACCATGCAGGAAGAAGCATAGGAAAAGAGAGAGAGAAAAGAACAAAGCAAAAAAAAAAAAAAGAACAGCAAGTCACTCCAAGTACTGTGGAAATAAACAGAAACTGGGATTAGGAAAAAAGAGAGGAAAAAGACCTGAGTAGTCAAAAGGACACGGGAGGCCAATTGGGAAGACCGCCCAGGTGAGACCAGGAAGATTGAGGCCACAGTGAATCAGGATCCGATCCCTCTGCTCAACCTGAATTATACTTCTGCTGGTGAGAGAGATCTGGTCGACCTTAGACATGGCAAGGCGAGAGGCGAGAGGCGAGACCCATCAGGTCGACCTTGGTCCAATGCTCACAGCTAACATCTCTCTCGAAATAAACAAAAAAATCCAACAGTAAATATTTAACAATGACAAAGAAATAATAAAAAACAATATTAAAGAACAATAAATAAATAGGTTGCAGTTAACAAAGGTAAAAAGTAATATCACAATTAAGATCTCCCCTCTCTCTCTGTTCGTCACACCCAGGCTGAAGTGTGACAAAATAAAAAAATCTAAAAGATCAACTTTATTGTGCAGGAAGGAGTGTAGGAAAATAGAGAAAAGAACAAAGAAGAAAAACAAAACAAGTCACTCTAAGTACTGTGGAAACAAACTAAAAGTGGGTTAAAAAAAAAACAGGCTGGGCGTGGTGGCTCATGCCTGTAATCCCAGGACTTTGGGAGGTTGAGGCAGGCAGATCACGAGGTCAAGAGATCAAGACCATCCTGGCCAACATGGTGAAATCCCGTCTTTACTAAAAATACAAAAATTAACTGGGCTTGGTGGTGCATGCCTGTAGTCCTAGCTACTCAGGAGGCTGAGGCAGGGGAATCATTTGAATCCAGGAGGTGGAGGTTGCAGTGAGCAACCACTGAACTCCAGCCTGACAACAGAGTGAGACTCCATCAACAATAACAACAATAAAAACAGATGAAGAAGGTCTGAGTAGTCTCAGGTACACAGGAGGCCAAGATGGGAAGACCACCGGGTAAAACCCAGGAGTCTGAGGCCTCAGAGAATCATGAATGCATCCCTCTGCTGCACCTGAATGGTACTGTCACCACCAAGAGTCATCTGGTCGACCTTAGACGTGGCAAACTGATAGCTAAGTCCAATGCTTGCAGCCAAAATTGACCTCAAAATAAATAAACAAAAAATACAACAGTAAATATTGAACAATAATGAAAAACAATAACAATATTAAAGACTAATAAATAATAAGTGGGAGTGAATAAAAGTAAAAGGTAATTAATATCACATTGAAGATTTTCTCCTGCCTCTCAATTTGTCATGCCAGGCTAGAGTGTGACAAAAATCTAGAAGATCAACTTCATTGTGCAGGAAGGAGCATAGAAAAATGAAGAAAAGAAGAGAGAAGAAAACAGCAAATCATTCTGAGTACTGTGGAAACAAACTGAAAATGGGCTTAGAAAGAAAGCAGAGTAAGAAGGTCGGAATAGTCCCAGGGACTCCAATTGCCGAGATGGGAAAACCACCCAGGTGGGATGGGAGATTGAGGCCACAGGGAATCACTATCACATGCCTCTGCTGGACCTGAATGGTACTAGTGCTGGCTAGAGCCATCTGGTTGACCTTAGACATGTCAAGGCAGGAGCCATCTGATCGACCTTAGACTTCGCAAGCTGGTGGCTAAGTCCAGTGTTCACTGCCGACATCTGTCTCAAAATAAAAAGTTCGACAGTGAATATTTAACAATAACAAAAATATAATACCAAACAATATTAAAGACCAATAAATAAGTGGGAGTGAACAAAGGTAAATTGACCATACATACATATATATATGATGCATATATATATATGGTCAATTTCATCATGCAGGAACGAGTGTAGAAAAAGGGAGAAAAGGAGAAAAGAACAAAGAAGAATGACAACAGCAAGTCTCTCTAAAACTTCGGTTAGTTTCACTGTGGAAAAGAAAATTGAAAGTGGGGTTAGAAAAGAAAGAGAGGAAGAAGGAGGATAAGTCCAGGTAGCCTGAGGGACTAGGGAGGCCGAGATGCAAAGACCACCTGGGTGAACACTGGGAAGATTGAGACCACAGTGAATCACGATCACATCCCTCTGCTGTACCTGAACGGTACTTCCAAAGGCAAGAGCCATCTGGTCATCCTTAGACATGTCAAGGTGAGAGCCGTCTGGTCGACCTTAGACATGGTAAGGTGAGAGCCAGCTGGTTGACCTTAGACTTGGCAATCTGGTAGCTAAGTCCAATCCTCTCAGCTGACATCTTGGAGAGAGAGAGACAGACAGACAGACAGGCAGACACAAACAGAGCGAGACAGGAGAAAATCTTAATTGTGTTATTACTTTTCACCTTTGTTCACTCCAAACAAAAAAATCCAACAGTGAATATTTAACAATAACAAAGATGTAACAAACAATATTAAAGACTAATAAATAAGTGGTAGTGAACAAAGGTAATAGGTAATTAATAACACAGTTAAATTCTTCTAACCTCTTTCTCGATTTCTCTGTCACACTCAAGATTGAGTGTAACAGAATAAGAATTTAAAAGGTCAACTTCATCGAGCAGGAAGGAGCATAGGAAAATATATAGAGAAAAGAGCAAGAAGAAAGAAATAGAAAGTCACTCTAAAGTCACTCTAAGGACTGTGGAAACGGATTGAAAGTAAGGTTAGCAAAAAATAGGAAGAATGTCCAAGTAGTCTGAGGGAATCAGGAGGCCGAGATCAGAAGGCCACCCTGGAGAGATATGGGAGACCCCCAGAGCACAGTGAATCACTCAGCCTAATTATAGAGACATCTGGGCAAACCCAAGCATTCTAAGGGAAGAGATCCTAGACCAACCCCTGGCAGTCTTATCATAGAGACACCTGGGTGACCACAGGCATTATGGGAGAGATTTTTGCTGAACTTAGGCAGTCTAATGATAGAGACAACTGGGCCACACTAGGCATTATTATAGCAGAGACCCCTGGCCAACCCCAGACATTGTAATTATAGAGAAACATGTGCGACCCCGGGCATTTTAATGGGAGAGACTCTCGGTCAACCCCAGGGATTTTTATGGGAGAGACGACCAGCCAAAACAAGGTAGTCTAATGAAAAAGACACCTGGGCAACCCTATGCATTCCAATGGGAGAGACTCCTGGCCCAACAAAGTTAGTCTAATAATAGAGACACCTGGATGACCACAGAAATTCTAATGGGAGAGACCCCTAACTAACCCCCAGTATTCTAATGGTAGAAACACCTGGGCTACCTCAGGCATTCTAATGGGAGAGACTCCTGGCCAAACCCAAGCAGTCTAATGATAAAGACACATGGGAGACCACAAACATTCTAACAGGAAAGACTCCAGGCAGACCCCAGGCTGTCTGTCTGATGATAGAGACAGCTGGGCAACCCCAGACATTCTAATGGGAGATACTGCCGCTGACCCCAGTCATTCTAATAAGAGAGACACCAATGATAAAGACATCTGGACAATCACAAGCATTCTAAAGGGAGAAACTACCAGCTGACCACAGGCTGTCTAATGATAGAGACACCTCATCGAGCCCAGGTATTCTAATGGGAGAGATTTCCAACTGACAACAAGCATTCTAATGATAGAGACACCTGGGCGACCGCAGGTATTGTAATGGGAGAAGTTCCCAGTCATCCAGACTCATTGTAATGATGGAGACACCTAAGCGAACTCAGGTATTGTCATGATAGAGACACCTATGCGACCCCAGGCACTCAAATGGGAGAGACTCCCAGCCAACACCAGACATTCTAATGAGAGAGATTCCTGGCCGAACCCAGGCAGTCAAATGATAAACATATCTGGGCAAAACCAGGAATTCTTAAGGGAGAGACTCCTGGCTAACCCCAAGTAGTCTAATATTAGAGACATCTTGGAGATCTCAGTCATTCTGATGGGAGAAACTCCCAGCCCACCCCTGTGATTCTAATGGGAAAGACTCTTGTCCAACCCCAGGCAGTTTAAAATTAGATACTCCTAGGCAACCCCCAGGCATTCTAATATGAGAGACTCCCAGCCGACTAAGGAAGTCTAATAATAGAGACACCTGGGCGACCAGAGGCATTCTAATATGAGAGACTCCCAGCCGACTAAGGAAGTCTAATAATAGAGACACCTGGGCGACCAGAGGCATTCTAATAAGAGGGACTCTCATCCGACCCCAGGCAGTCTTATGATAGAGACATCTGGGTGACCGCAGGCATTTTAATGGGAGAGACTTCTGGCCATCCAGAAGCATTGTAATGATGGAGACGCCTGGACGATGGCAAGCATTGTAATAATAGGGACACCTGTGCGACCCCAGTCACTGAAATGGAGAGATTCCCAGCCAACACCAGGCATTCTAATGAAAGAGATTCCTGGCCGACCCTAGGCAGTCAAATGATAAAGACACGTAAGAGAAACCAGGCATTCTAATGAGAGAGACTCCTGGCTAACCCCAGGCAGTCTGATGATAGAGACACCTGGGCAACCCCAGTCATTCTAGTAGGAGAGACTTCCAGCCAACCTCAGTGATTCTAATGGAAGAGACTTGTGTGACCCCAGGCAGTTGAGATTCCTGGGCAACTCCAGGCATTCTAATAAGAGAGATTCCTAGTCCGAGTAAGGCAGTCTAAGGATAGAGACACCTGAGCGACCTCAAGCATTTAAATAGGAGAGACTCCTGGCTGACTCCAGGCAGTCTAATTATACAGACTCCTGAGTGACCCCAGGCATTCTAATGAAAGAGACTCTCAGCCAAACCCAGGCAGTGTGATTATAGAGACACTTAGGTGACCCCAGACATTCTAATGGGAGAGACTCCTGGACGACCCCAAACATTCTAATGATAGAGACACCTGGGCAACCCCAGACTATTTAATGATAGAGACACCTGGGTAACCTGAGGCATTCTTATGGGAGAGGCCCAGGGCCAACCCCAGGCATACTAATGATAGAGACACCTGGGTGACACCAGGTATTTTTAATGGGAGAGACTACCAACCAGCCCAAGACAATCTAATGATACAAACACCTGGGCGACCCCAGGCATTCTAATGATAGAGACAAGTGAGCAACTTCAAGCATTTTAATAATAGAGACACCTGGGCTACCACAGGCATTTTTATGTGAGAGACTCCTGGAAACCCCAGGCATTCTAATAGAGAGACTCCTGGCTGACCACAGGCAATCTAATCATGGAGACAACTGAGTGACCCCAGGCATTATAATGGAAGAGACTCCTGGCCGACACCTGGCAGTCTAATTTAAGTGACAATTGGGCAACCACAGACATTCTCATGGGAGAGACTCCTGGCGGACCCAAGCAGTCTGTGGATAGAGACACTTGGGTGGCCTCAGGCATTCTAATGGGAAAGATTTCTAGTTGACCACTGGAAGTCTAATTATAGAGACACGTGGGCTACCCCGGGCATTCTAATGAAATAGACTCCTTGCCGACCCCAAGCAGTCTAGTGAAAGAGACACATGGGAGACCCCAGGCATTCTAATGAAAGAGACTCCTGGCTGAATCCAGGCAGTCTAATGATAGAGGCACCTGGGCGACCCCAGGTGTTCTAATGGGAGAGACTCCTGGCCAACCCCAGTGATTCTAATGGAAGAGATTCTTGTCTGCCTTCAGGCTGTCTAAGGATAAAAACTCCTTAGGGCCTCCAGGCATTCTAATGAGAGGGACTCCCGGCCAAATCAAGGCGGTCTAATGATAGAGACACTTGGGTGACCCCAGGCATTTTAATGGGAGAGACTCCTGACCTACCACAGGCAGTCTAATTTTACACACTCCTGGGAGACCCCAGATATTCTAATGAAAGAGACCCCCGGCCAACTCCAGGCAGTGTGATGATGGAGACAGTTGGGCTACCCCAGGCATTCTAATGGGAGGGGCTCCTAGATGACCTTAGGCATTCTAATGATAGAGTCACCTCTATGACTCCAGACAGTCTAATGGGAGAGACTACCTGCCAACCTCAGGCAGTCTAATGATAGAGATAGCGGGCGACCCCAGGCATTGTAATGAGAATGACTGCTTGCCAACCCAAGGCAGTGTAATGATAGACACACCTTGGCAACCCCAGGCATTTTAATGGGAGAGATTCCTAGTTGACCACCGGCAGTCTAAATATAGAGACAGCAGGGCTACCCCAGGCATTCTAATGGGATAGATTCTCGGCCAACCTCAGGAAGTCTAATGATAGAGACATATGGGCCACCACAGGCATTCTAATGAAAGAGACTCCTGACCGACTCCAGGCAGTCTAATGATAGAGTCACCTGGGTGACCTTAGACATTCTTACGGAAGAGACCTCCAATCGACCCCAGTAATTCTAATGATGAAGACCCCTACACGACCCCAGTCATTCTAATGGGAGAAACTCCTGCTTGACATAAGGCAGTCTAACGGTAGAAACACCTTGGCGACCCTAGACATTCTAATGGGAGAGACTCCTGGCAAAACCTTGGCATTCTAATGATAAAGACAAGTGGGCAACCCCAAGCATTGTAATGGTAAAGACACCTGGGCGATCCCAGGATTTCTAATGTGAGAGACTCCTGGCCAACCCCAGGCATTCTAATTAAGAGACTTCTGTCTGACCACAGGCTGTCTAATGACAGAGACTCCTGGCCGACTCCAGGCATTCTAATGAAAGAGACTCCTGGCCGACCCCAGGCAGTCTAATTAAAGTGATACCCAGGCGACCCCAGGCACTCTAATGGAAGAGACTCCCGGCTGATCCCAGGCATTCTAATGGGAGAGAATCCTGGCCAAACCCAGGCAGCCAATG